ACCGTGGTTCCTGGTGGAGACCTGGCCAAGGTCCAGAGGGCTGTGTGCATGCTGAGCAACACCACTGCTATTGCAGAGGCCTGGGCTCGGCTCGACCACAAGTTTGACCTGATGTACGCTAAGCGTGCCTTTGTTCACTGGTATGTCGGTGAGGGTATGGAGGAGGGAGAGTTCTCTGAGGCCAGAGAGGACATGGCAGCTCTGGAGAAGGATTATGAGGAGGTGGGAGTCGACTCCATTGAGGGTGAGGGAGAGGAGGAAGGAGAAGAATACTAAAAAGGGACATAAAGGCATTAACCAGGAAATAATTGATTGCAATGTGTCCCTGAATGCATTCCAAACAGGTGTCTGTCAGTTTGTCTGTTCAGATTAAACCTCCTGAAAGTGTCAAGTTTGGCTATGTTCTCAATAAATTCCCTGTGATGTGAAGTTGTGTGTCTGTCGTTAATTCAGCCTGAACGTATATTGAATATCAGTCATAAGTGAGTTGTTCCAAAAAATGCTGATGTTGCTTCAATATTTCCACATAATGTTCTTTCCTCATGAGGCCATCTATTATGTGAAGGTCACCAGTCCCTCCACAGCATGATGCTGCCACCCCCATGCTTCACAGTTGGGATGGTGTTTTCAGGCTTCAAACTTCCCCCTTTTTCCTCCAAATGTAACGATGGTCATTAAGGCCAAACAGTTCAGTTTAAGTCTCATCAGACCACAGGACATGTCTAATGTAACATGTCTAATTCTGTGTTATTGTATAACTGAATTCTGGAGCTGTTGGATTTAAATGCACATCCAGGATCATAACTACATGTTAGAAGTATTTAAATACAATCTGCAAACACGATTAGCATATAATGATGAATAGTGGGAGGCTTTTGTCTTTTTTTGTGAAGCATGACTGAGTGTAGCATCAGATTATTTTGGGGGAGATTAGGGAGTCCATCTTAAATCTTCAATAATCCCTCAAGAAGCTCAGCTGCACATCAGAGAAGCAGATTTATTTGTAACTGTACCGTATTTAAATGAGAGACAACTCTAAACTGTTTTGAGCATTGTTTATTGGAAAAACATTCATGTTCAGTTTTGTCCAAATCGACACATTCTTGTTCAGCAAACATGCTTCAAACTGGTACAAAAAAATCTGAGCCTGTCTAAGGTATAATTTTGGGAAATAGTTTGATTAAATCCTAAAAAAACACACATTTGGGAAGTTTGTGTTTCAAAAAACATGTTAAAAAAAGTATAAAAAGACATCCCAGAAGCCTGTAAGTTGCTAATCAGATGCTACTTGGTTTGTTTGTTGGAGGCTGGTGACGGTTCACACTGGTCGATCCTGCAGCAACGGGCAGTCATCGATAGTTCCTCGTCGGTTCAGGAGGTTCCAGAACATCGAGGCTCCGGATGAGCTGCCGGGCTGTGGGCCTCCAGATGCAGCGATGTCTTCCTTCAGAGGACGGTAGGACTTAAATCGCCTGTGAAGCAAAGCACAAATATGGACGAGATGTTTTCAGCGTCTATAATTTATTATTATTAATGTGAAAATGTAAAACTGATGACTAAACTGACAGAGCATTGCAGCTGACTCTGCAGATGAACTTGGCTCCTCAGAGCTTTACAACAAGTTAATGCTGATTGATTAGTTTTACTGTTACAACATCATTTCTGGCTGCAGCAGGCAGCACTAAAACCCCTCTGCATGCTACCTGTTTAGAAACGAACGGCAGACGGGCAAATTTAAAGACTTAGAGACTTTTTTTTTCCAGATGATTTGTTAGAGACCCTGGGTCTTATGCATTAGTATATACTTTTATCATCTCATCACAGTGTCATGTTCTGCTGGGAAACACTGAATCCCAACTTTCACATTTACATGTACCAATTACTGAAACACTGTTAGCGACCAAGCACAGCACAGCCCAGTGACAGTGGACCATCTCCATCTGACAAAGTATCCGGCCACACAACAAAAACGGCTCTTGAACAATTCAATCCAAATCCTTCCAAACTCCCCAGATCCCATTTCAATTGAGCATCTGTGAGTGGCACCAGAACAAGCCTGATCCATGGAGAACTCTGCTGCCACTGTTCTGGTACCACAGGACACCCAAGACATCCTGTGTCCATGCCCTGATGGCTCAGAGCTGTTTTGGTAGCATGAGCCTAGCCTGGGAGGGCAGCTCGCCAGTGAGCGTCTGGTGGCTGAGACTTGTTTCGCCATATCGGTGGCACAGGTTGCCGAGGTAGTTAGGAAACTCTTTGGTGGCAAAATGCCAGGTGGGGACAAGATTTGCCCTAAGATACTAAAGGTTCTGGACGTTGTTAAGCTGTCTTGGCTGGCATGCCTCTTCAGTGTTGTGAGGACATCAGGGACAGTGACTGAGGAGTGGCCTCCAACTGTCAGGGTATCACACTGCTCAGCCTTCATGGAGAAATCTACTCAAAGGTGCTGAAGGGAGGTTTCAACCAATTGTTGAACCTCAGAGTCAGAAGGAGCAATGTGGATCCTACCCTAGTTCATCAGTGGAACACCTCTTTAACTTGCAGAACTACTGAGGGGGTCATGGTAGTATGACCTGCCAGTCCACATGTGTTTTGTGGGTTTGGACAAGGCTTACAATCTAGTCTCCTGAGGGGAGGGTACTGCAGGAGTATGGCTACCGGAGTCATTGTTACGAACCACCCAATCCTTGTACAACTAGATGGTTTGAGCATCTGATTGGAATGCCTCCTGGGTAACTTCCTTTGGACGTTTTCCCAGCATGTCCAGCTGGGAGGAGACCCCAGGATAGACCCAGAACTCACTGGAGAGATTACTAACTGGGGAATATTTCATCTGGCCTGGGAACACCAAGGGACACCCCAGGAACTGGAACTGGAAAGCATGACTAGGGAGAAGGACATCTGGAATGACCTGTTTCACCTGCTGCCTCAGTGACCCGACCCCGGATAAACAGAAGAAAATGGATGATCGGGTGGCTGGATCGATGGGTGCTCAAACAGAAGTAATTTGTGGTTATTGGGGACTATGTTCAGCTGCAGTTTAATACAAATTCTCTGCTTTTGTTAGCATCTCTGGTAGCAGGACGGTCTATGTGGGATTGAGGGAAAGCAAACTGTTCAGGACTGAAGGACATGTTCCCCGGTGTAGCAGTGTGACTAACTGATGGGTTTCCAATGGAGCTTTATGCCTCAGAGAGTGTGCTCTATGCAAGCAACACTTTAGTTAGCTGCATCAGTTCATTGTTAATTTAAGGGATTCATCACAATAAAGCAAATATAGCACATTACTAAACTTGTCATTTAAAGTAAATGTTTTTACACTTCTTACTTGTAAGAATAAGCCACTACTGCCAGCGCTAGAATGAGTACCAGGACACCCAACAGCATGGCGATGGTACCAGAGGAGGACAGCCCGGAGCCTGAAACAAAGATCACACTGTCAGCCGGCAGGACAAAGCAGATATGTCATGCACTGTCAGACTGGTGCACGGTGGTCATTATGTTGCATACCCATGTCAACATTGACTTTGGCGCTGGTGGCTGCTAAGCTGACATCATTGGCCATGGAAACATTGATGCAGTAGACACCGGAGTCATTGAAGAAGTGACGCAGCACCAGCTGGCACTCTTTGGACGGCTCCACCATGTTGCAGGCTGTGTGAATGGGCCTCAGGCACTCTGCGTCCAGAATCACGCTGCACACTTCTTTTGGGAGACTGCAGAAAGAAGAAAGTGAGTTAAAAAAACAAAAAGGAATCCGTGCAGCCTGATTTGTTTCGTGGCTAATGTGGTGCAGAAGCCTTCACCTTCCCTGGCAGGTGACAGTGATATCCAAAACATTTTTGTTCATTCCAGGTGTTGCCATCACGTTGTTGTCCATTTGTACAATCTCTACTTTTTCAATGGCCTCTGAAAACAAAGAGTGAGAAGGAGTTTTCAAATGGGTTTTGATCTTGATGATTAAAAAAAAAGGACTAATAATGAAAAGAAACTCACCAAATACTTCGATGCCAGTGCAGAAGGAGCCGTATCGATAAATCACACAGTCATCGTCAGCAGGTTTATCATCAGCATCCCTCTTAGCTACAGCGATGACTGTCGCTCTTCCTGTCAGCGTCACTGTTCGCTTTGCATCTGGTGACAACAATCAGGGAAATATTACCCTGTTAATATCATCATTTGTACATTTATTGCAGCATCATAAACAGCATGTTCACGTCCTTTCATATTTGCAGAAACAGCCTCCATTTATGTGTATTTTAATTGTAATTTTGTGCATTTTTTTGATTACTATGAAGCAGGACATGCAACACCTTTAAACCTGCAGTGGGAGAAAGTCCACAAACATGTGCGCTTATGAGAAATACCTTACAGTCAGTTGTTTTCTTTGTAGACCATAATCCTTCATTTGAAGTTTCTTTATATGTGGACCGTCAGAAACGTACACATCATGAGCCTGTTTCATTGTCATCACCACGCCTGCTTCCCTCTTCAGCTCTGACAAACTAATAGTTTCTGTTTGACATAAAAGACATTGCTACTAGTGCACGAGTGTTGGGATTTTGCATAGACACCTGTTTTAAAACTGATAAAGTGCCAAACACAAAGCCTTCCTTGGCGCTGACAGGCTTAGTCAGCACTGTGGGAACTCGTTTGGCTTGAATTTGAAGGACCTTTATTTATACAGAAAAAGTCTCCACTCGAGTTTCAAGGATATTATGACACAGTCACAATAACAAAGTGGTGTAAAGGAAAGAAAACGCAAAGTAAAAACCGTCCATTTAGGAGAGCTGCGTGGACCACGTCATATTTTTATTGGTATTTTATTTTTATCCCCAGGATGTCCTCGCCATGTTCAGATATAACGGTTATTTAAACTGAAATACATTTTTCTCTTTTAGTGGATGAGAAAAAATACAACTTGTACTTCCTTCACCGACTTGCTGCTCTGCTTTTGTGTTTATCTGCATTGTTTATGACACTTTCACGAGAAACACTGAAGGGTTTCCAATGTGACGAGATGTTATTTATCCATTCAGTCAGCGTGTTTGAGAAGCTACAGCCATTTAAATCTGGATTTGTCGATGGAGGTAGGAGTGGAAGAAGTGTAAAAAAAAAAAAGCCTCTTGTGTCCTCACTAGCCTCTTCTGCTTTGTATAGTAGTTAATTATCCATCCATCCATCCATCCATCCACCACTTAATCCTAACGAGGGTCGCGGAGGGTTGTAGTTAATTAGCTTTTTATTTTTTGCGTTTGTAAAATGCAGTCGATCCAGAGCAGATGTATTCTGTATTTCCTAAATGCATCTTGATGAATCGTGTTGGTGCAAATTTAGAGTCAGCTCAACATCAGCTGTTTATTCTCACAAGCATCAGCTAGCACGAAGACGAGAATGGTCGAAACTCAGCCGGTTAACGCCGCTGTGTGTTTATGCAAATGATGCAGCCAGAATCAAATTTTTAGAACCGATGCTGTGCTGTGGTTGACCGAGACAAAAGTGGCCTTTAGAGGTCGGGTCAGAGGTTGTTTACGGAGACAGGTTGTTAAAAACGTTTGATTTAGGTGATGTGAATAAAGGCTATTAAGACAGACTAGTGTGGTTTGTAGATCCACAAATAGATAAAGTGGTATCGGACAAGAAGTGAGCCGACCGCTCCCTGCCAGCATGCAAATTCAAACAATAAAGCACAATGGAGCGATTCACGTCCACCTTGCCCTGCTTGTCTGGTACAATGACTGCGCCTCTAGAGATTTACATTTTAGGAAATCAGATATGTGGTTCATGAGGGAGGCGGACATCTGGTTTAATTGTTGTTACCGCACATATTATCTGTGGCTGAAACTGAAGCTTCTGGGACTCACCTGCTGGCAGTTTGTTCTCCACCTGATTGTCAGCAGGCAGCTGGTTGACCGGTGATGGAGTCTTGGCCACCGTTTCCAGGGCAGGTTGAGTCGCCGAGGCGGTGGAGGCCTCATCCTCGGTGGTGTCTTCTTCTGTGTCTGATGGAACCATGTTGACGTTCAGACCGACTGACTTGGTGGAAACCAGTAAAGGAACAGCAGACACCAGTGCAGGAGCTTTAACTGTACACAGAAAGACGGTTCAGTTCCTGTTCTGATAGGATGTGGAGCTGAGGTAGCACGCATAGGTACAAAATATGGTCAATGTTGTCATTTATTTTAGCTTTTAGGCAGCAGATGGACATTTTAGAGTAATATTAACATTTACTTTCTTTGTGAAAGTAAAATTCGAAGACGTGACACCACTGTTATCTTTCTCTTCAATGTAAAGCTTCAGCCAACAGCTAGTTATCGTAGCTTAGCATAAAGACTCAGAAGCAACTAACATATAGCACCTGCCAGCACTTAAAGCTCCTGAAGCCATTTGCAAAGATGTGATTTCAGTCAGTAAACAGCTCCGTAACTGTAAGGACTAAACAAACGACCTCTGGGTCTGTGGAGAAGAAATGTGGGAAAATCCTGAAGTACAAAACGTGTCTTTGTCCTTGTGACCAGGCCAGAGGGAGACTGGAAAGACTCCAGTGAAAAATTGACTTTCTACGAATAAATAACAGCCTTGTAGAGATGATTTAGTGACACTGATGTTACTGAACCTCCTTAATGGCAGCTTTATTAAATTAGACGCAGCAGAAATGAAACACAACAAATGCAACGGCCGTTTTAGTCGTAGTCATCCGGTCGGCCTCTTTGT